CAGGAACAGATTCCAGCCCCAAGAACTTATCCAAATCTTCTCTTCTCATCCCCTTCCCACTCTTCAAATTCATACTTATCCTCTCCTTCTCCAGCTCCAGCTTCCCCATCCTCCTCAAACTCTGCTTCCTGTTTAGAAAACCTCCACCACCACCAAACCTCCTCCCATCTCTCCCCACAGGCACAGGCACTGCATCCAATCCCATCAGCTTTGCCACCACTCCCGGCTTACACCAAACCACTCTCTCCCCTGCCAAAGTGGGCGGCATTCGGATCCCTGACACGCCGCAAAATGACTTCCTTCCATCCACAAAATTTCTGAAGGAAGATCGATACATGGCATCTCTCCCATCCAGTGAGAATCTGGGATATTGATTAAGAGCATTTCTTGCGGAATTCATGATATCGATGCTGTCAACGCATGACATTCTCCTGGGGATATCTTGGTGGTCGTGAAGCATGGATCTCCTTGCCTCCTCTTCCTCTGTTTCGAGCTGCATTATCATCTCTTCTAAAGTTCGCGACTTTCTGGCCTCTTCGTTGCCTTTGTTGCTGCTTTGGCAGAGAGTGGAGGTTGAGGTGTTGTTGTTGCAGAAGCTTTGGATGCTTTTCTTCATCTTGGAGGAGAGGGAGTTCTTGAGGATGAAGAAGGAGAGATCCTTCATTGGAGTGTGGAGAAGCGATGGATGGGGAAGTGGGGTTTGGGATGGTATAAGAGAGGAGAGGTGATTTTTGTTCAGAACGTGAAGGAAGTAAATGGAAGAGGTGGATGTTAGTATAGTTCACATGAGAGAGGGAAAGGGATCACAGAGAGAGGTTCTCAGCTTTGAAAATTATTAGTGTAAAAGCATTGGACAGGTGGTGGGTGAAGGGATTTCTTGAGGCATCTTGTGAGAGCATGATGCCTTTATTTATTATGACTCATGAATGTTTAAGTCAAGTTGAGAAAAAAATTGAAGTACACCTGAGGTGAAATAAGATCACATCTGAGGAGGGGTTGTTAATTGAGATAAACTTCTCAAATGAGTTTATATTTAAAATGTATTTTTTCAATTGGATGCATTACTTTTCCTTCTAATATAGTAGCAATTTGATTGAATATTGTTTTTTAAATGCTTTTATAATGAAAATAATAGATAAAAAAAAGCATAATTATTAAGTTTTATATTTTTTTAGAGGAAGATGTTGATTTCATAGATCAGCATTGAATGTTCTTTAATTTATGAAAAATTATTTTGTGTGGAAGTTTTAACTTTAAGGGATAGCTTTCTTTAGGTACATAATTAGCAAATTTAAATTTTAGGCAAAATTAAAATAATAGTCAATTGGTTAAGATTGAGCAGCATTATCAGGTTTTATATTTGTTGAATCCTCATTTGTGTGTTAATCAAAGAGTGATAGAGAGAGAGAGAGATGGAAATAGCACGAGAGAGAACAATAATCCGTAGTTTTTATTCATAAAATAATTCCTCAATTTATAAAGGAGGGGGTACAATGATGATAATACATTTTTTCCCTACTTTAAAGGAGTTTGTATTAAGATTTTTGATATTTTACATATATGAGCTTGTCGTCTAGCTGCTTTCCGGCTCACCTGACTAAGTTTAGTTGGCTTCAGGTCTATGGAATCCACTCAGATAGCTAATCTTTAGTCGATATAAGTCGATCAACTGATATGACCAGGTTATCAATCCTTGATCCCATATGAGGATCTTCTAAGGCATCAATGGAATGGTTGGAGATGATGTGGAATTGAATCTTCTCTTGGATCGACTCTACTGGAGGGTAAACTATCGGATCGGGTCCACTTTCCCGCAGTGGTTGGCTTGGATGCTTTTTTGTTCTCATTCCCGACGAAATGGCTC